CTGGTGTAGATGGTTACATCAAGGTAGATGATCAGTCATACTAGATACCTTCTCTCAGTGAAGAGTAATGGTCACAGTTATGGCATAGTTCCTCTGACCTATTACAGATATCTACTTTTGGATCAGAACAATCGCTCTGTTGCAGTACTTGCATGTACATCTGTTGCTGTAGATGTCTGCATTTGGTTAGATAAATCCAACTCTACGTTTCTAACTGGTAATAGATGAGAAATTATCAGTGTAACACTTAGCACAAAACAGCAGGGAAGACACTTTTCCTTCTCATAGGTCTTACATATCTTCCCTCTCTCCCTCTCTCCCTCTTTCTCTTTTTCAAAACAGTTTCTAACTTCCGGTGGACAGTAATTTAACCTATCATTAACCCATAGCAACTCATCCTGCTCAAATATAATGTCTGACAACAGTGCAATAACATCAGAATTTGGCACATTGTGTCAGATCTTTGATCAAAGTCCTTCAATGGCAAAAATGAAATTCTCACTGACTCAGGTAGTGCCAGGACTTAATCCTACATGCTTTAGGACAAAAGGTGGTGACTGGGATGCAATGGATGCACCCAGAGCAAACTCACTTGAAGTGCCATCTGGACTTTCACGGCAGCTGCTGACAGAGTCCCTGTTGTGCGGGTTAGAGGAGGACCCAAGCTGTCCAGGCTGTCAGCTTCAAATGCATTCGACATGGAAGTGCTCAAAGAAAAGTAGTAAAGTGGGGTGTCTTCTTGCTTTTCTGTGTAGTGTACCCTCCATGAAAAAGAAGTGATGAAGAGCTCCTGCCAGCACTTCCAGGAGAAGCTGGATGAGATTGAACAGCATCTGACTGAACAGCAGGCCCAGTTTTCCAGTGCTATGCCAGATGAAGGAAGGTAATGACAGCTCAACATACCTAAATCCAAAGCTGGCATCAGCAACAGCCCGTGGGCATGTGCAACATGTCTGATCACTTGTGTTAACCACAGCACTTCTGGTCAGTGAGGTGCAGCTGTGGGCATCCAACAAGTGGTTGAGAAATGTTCTGTGATGTGATTTTTGCTCAGAGGAAAGTCCAGCCTCTCTCCACACTGTTCAAGGCTCTTAAATATGTGCATTTTGAAGGGCAAGATTGCTCCACAGATGCAGACCAGATTTTTAGTGTGCAACTACTATGTTTTAATAGCAATAGGAACACAGGAACAGAACTCAGTCAGCTGGAGCTCAGTATCCCAGGTCAGTGCTGGGTTCAGAGAAGTAGATGGGAGCAATCTCTGACAAATGAGTCACTTCAGGCCATGTACTTACTGCTTATGTTCAATGGGGTGATGATACAGGAAAAATTGAACTAGCTCATCATGGACTCAGCCCAAGTTCACAGGGATTACCGAGAAGCCTCAGGTTCACAAAAAGTTACTGGGAGCTTCCAGTCTTGAACTGCCTGAAAGTAGGGCATTTATGCAGTCTTTGGGCTAGCAATAAAATCAAAAGTGATATATGTGCCCAGACTCAAGCTGACTCTGCAACTACGTGTTTAATCCTGCAACTGGGGTAATCAAAGAAATGAGAGTCAAGCAGACAAGGGCTGTAATTTATTATTTCTTAAGGTATCCGGTGATCATGGGTACAAACAAGTGGGACAACTTGTTTTGTTGTTGTTAAAAACAACAGGGAGCTACAGGCGTTACGCTGGGGCTGAGGAAGAGGAGGGTGTTCACTGCTCACTCAAGTGTGCTTTCGCTGCTGTCACTACAGGGAGGAAGGCAGAGACCTGCAACTCTTACGGCGAGCTGTTCGTCAGGAGGTTGCAGAGCTGGAACTTCGGCTGAATGATCAAGCTTGCCAGGTCAGGGAGGGCATCCTTATGGTACGTTGCACAAGCCACCGCTCTGGGTCGTGTGGGGAGAGTTTGAAGTCTGTCCTGCTATTCTGTGTTGAAAGCATTAACTCTGACATACATCTGAATAAACTTTTCAGTGCCAAGAATAGGAAGACTTCCGATAACAGATTTTACATCTTTGACTGTTCTGCTTGAGCTCAATCACCCAGGAAAAGTGCCAATAGTTATAGAAGTGACTGTATTCTCCTCTGCTCTGTAAAGGTCCCGTGATTTCTAGAATAAAGTGATAGGTAGTCAGCCTACAGAATTACTGATAAATGGTTACTGGTCTGGTTCTTTTCTGGACCAGTGCTCCATTCGATAAGGACAGGTAAAGAAAATGTGATCGAAGGATTCGTTACTTGTCTTTGATTCTTCCCTGACAAACTTGGGTTAGAGGGTCAAGGCTGCAATGGTCACAGACTGAAGTCCATTTGGAGATTTTCCATTAGGCAATTAGATCTATCTGTTGAAATAAAATGTCCTTTAGGCCTTTCTCCTCCTTTTTATGGCAACATCTCCTTTGCCAGATATTGCATGTCTTCTTCGGACCAAGCAGAAGAAGCAGGCATGCTTCATATACTCTTGTGTATCCTGCTTGATTCCTTTTATTATATTTTTATTACTGCAATATGCTTTTCCTTCTATTTTCTCTGCAGCAGCTGGACCAATTACTAGTAGAACAATCCCATCTGTTTTCCGAGCTCGGACTCTCTGATTGGAAGGGAGAAAGAAAAGCCCAGAATAAACAAGCGTTTCCAGATGCTGCTGACACCTCACATCCTCAAAGTGTGTGCCCAAATATGGTGTTCCCAAGAGCTCCTAGCAAAAACATGACAGCAACAGGCTCACTCTCTGCCCTGAGGTCAGGGGCACCCCCGATGCTCTTTCCTCCCAGGACAACACCTGAGCCGAATTCAGCTGGGTGTGACCCACAGGAGCTCTCCACCAGTAAAAAGGAAATAAAAGGTCCTCCCCAAGCAAAAATGGACTTTAAGGCATTTTTATACAACGTAAGGAGATGTTTCAGTCTCACCCTCAAGGTTTTAAGTGGAAGGGATCGCTAACCCGCAATGTGATTTTATTGTTCTGTGTCTCATTGCCACAGCTTAGACCAGGACCCTTTCCTGCTCAGCCGTGTGCTCATCCCAAGGGATGGAGCCTGTGTTTCAGGGCACGTTCAGTGTGCATAAACAACACAGGCAGACCTGCCTTGGTATTTCTCAGTAAGTTGTGGCAATGATCTAGATGCTTCAGAAAGAGCATATAAGTACCTGGATAGTATTTGCCTGGCTTGCTTGAACTTTGAATGCAACTGTTTGACTAATTAGTATACTCAACCCTCTCCCACCATGTGAAATTAGTAATTTATGGCTTCAATTTGCAGAGACAATTATCCAGTTTTACAAGGGCAGTAAAGGCAGTGAACTGGAAGGTTTGCTGTTTTTCTTAAGAAATTCTAAGTCAGCATTTCTGACTGATCTGATCTCACAATGTAACCAAAAAAAAATAAATGTTTGCCTACATTTTTAATACAAAAAATGCCAAGAAAAATATCTTAGATAGCTGCCTTATCATTTAACGATCTGTCCATCTAAGCATGTGTCCCAGTTTTTAAGGATTGATCATTCTTTTAAATGAACAGTTAGGGTTAAATACTGCATAAACTTCATGTGAACACCATGGGAGGGAATGCTCTTTATTGTAGTCTTATACTACTTTCTTGATTTATGTTAACTTTACCACTGATATTATCAAGCAGAATCAGGTTCCTTAACACACAATTCAAAGAATGAGAACCATAGACAGTGAGGAACAAAGAATGGAAATATTTGCGATCATGTTTTGTCATTTTTTGCACCCATTTCCTTTTAAGACTAGTCTTGGTCATTCCCTCAACAGACAAAGAAAATAACACTTTTTTCCTTTTTTTTTCTTTCCAGTTGAAGAAATCATTCCGAAATTCTTTAGGTAATGATTCAGCAGAAGGAAAAGACTGACAGAGGGCAAACTGATGGATTTTGGTTTTAATTACTGTGGTCTTTTTCCTGAAATGCATGGTATACCACAGAAACAAATGAGCAAAACATTGCATTATAGAAAGTTCTGATCACACCGGTTTCATTTGCAATGAGATGACTGGCCAGCAAAACAGGCATTTTTAAAGGATGTTTCAAAGAGAGGTGCTACGTATTTTGCTATTCTGTGACTACAAAACTTACTGCTACGCGTAGGATAGGGCTGTTCTTTGTAAGGTCGTTTAAAAGGAAGAGGAGAGGGCTTATTTTTGAGAAGAAACTTGAGAACTTGCAGACAGCCCAGGAGATACCATTAGTAGGTATTCTCCTTATAGCCACTTATTTTAACACAGTCCTTCAATATTAACCCTCAAGACCAAAATACCTTGTATAGTCCTAACCAAGTTCTAGCTTTTAACTTGCTACTAACTTGCTTCTGACTAATTTTGTGAGGCTTGTACCTAATGTCAGTATCAAATCAGAAGCTCACTGACATTGCATAAAATGTTAAACACCCACTCTGTCAAACTATTACTGTGGATAGTCTCCTGGCTGTCCTCTTCCTTTTCATATTTGCTTCATATAAATCCAATTAAAACCAAACTGTGGCTAGAAACACAGGATTTTCTACATTTAAAGCCTTGAATCAGAATCCTGGTTGAGTTTTCTGGGGCACGCTCAGAACCTGGGTTCATGCAGAAAAAGCCATGAGAAAAGACCTCCCAGGTTTGGATCACAGCAAAGAAATTCAACTGGTTCTTTTTCAAAGCAGCGCAGTTTGTACTACTGCTTTCAATTTAGCACTTCCCAGACTGTGAGATGTCCTGCTGGCTTGTTTGTTTAATGCTCTGGAGGGATCTTAGGTGTCATTTAGGCTTTGGTGTTGCAAATCACAGCTCTGCAAAGGTGCAAATAGAAGTAGCATTTGCACACTTTTAAGGAGAAAATGGAGTCAAACATGCTGAGCAGCCTCGAGGCTCCCTGCACCTCCACGTTTCCACAGATGTTCAGGGTAATAAAATGATTGGGGGAGAGAGGTACATAACACAGGAACTGACAAGATCCTCCACAGCCTGCTGGGCCATGAATTTTACCGGTTGAAATTTGCCCCTTTCTTGAGACCCCGCATGGGATTTGTACACCACTTCCACACTATCAAGTGTTTAAGAGTTTATACCTCAAGATTTGTGATTGTGACAGTATCTTCAGGCAGCATGCAAACAGGACCAAAGCATCCTTCACCTAAGTTTTGGTGGAACGAGTAATAAATGTGGCTTAGTGTTTTCTCCCTCCACTGGTTTATGAACTGTACTTGCAGATGTTGTACCTCAGTTTGTGATGGAAGGCAAATAAAGAGGATGGTGAAGGATACACAATGATGCCAGTGCTAAAGGTCTCCTGTAAGAGAGGATAGCTAAGCAGCTCCCTTACCTCAGCCACACCAGGGCTGTGATTCCTCTCATAAAACAAGATGCTTTTTGCAAGTGTCACTGCAGCATGATGCATAAAAGCTCTGTAGGTATGTGATGCTGCAACCACTGTCTGCCTGGCCACATGTACAGAGGACGGTAGGTCTGTTGGCAGGTGGCAGCTATTCTTCATTAGAAAGATCATGCAGGACCTCTGGTGCCATTTGAATTCTACCATTTGTATTCTCAACCAGGACTGAAACTGACTCCTGCTAACAAAACTTTCCTGTTTGAATGGTGTCTACATTGGTATGTGCAGTCCAGTTCCTCATTTCAATTTAATTATAAAATCATTTCATGCAAGCCAGGGACAGGACAGGTTTCCCCCATACGCAACACTTAGACACCCACAGATATTGTTACCATGAACTTGTTTGCATTTATAGCTAGATAACCTTTCAAGCCTTCAATGTTGTTTGAACAGTTAAGCTGTAACCTCGTAGCAATAAAAAACATACTAAGCAATGGGAACGAGAAAAATCTTCTGACTTATCCTAGAGTACAAGGAGTGATATTTCCCTTCATAACTCCTCCAAGCATGTTACAACGATGGCTGGACTAAGTCTCATAATGCTACTGTTGAAGATGGGAGAGAAAAGAAAATACATGGTAATTTTGTGGCCAGGAACGTCCAGGGGTAGCACTGGGCAGTGTGGGAGACAGCTGTGCACCCACGTAACCTCACAGTGTCACCAAACTTTTAAACTATATCATTTATTTCCCTTTAGGGCAGTCATAAGCAAATATGGTGGGAATCTCAATGATAACTCCACAGCATTAATGAAATACTAACATATCTTTAGCTAGCTAGAACCATACAAATTAGCTTGCAGGTTCACAAGGCAGTGGGTCATATCTTGGGGCAAGGAGGGCTACATTACTTGTGAAAAGCACTAGCACTAGGTAGTTTGCAACTTTGAAATATGAAGAAAACTGACCCAGTGACACCGCAGGACTTCTGACCAGGAAAAGGAAAGAAAAGAAAAGAAAAGGAAAGAAAAGGAGAGGAGAGGAGAGGAGAGGAGAGGAGAGGAGAGGAGAGAAATGGAAGTATTCGAGCAAAAGACTGTTTTCCTCCCCAATCCACATTTACAAAATTGAAATAGGTAGAACAATTGGCTCTGTTTCACAGGATTGTTGAAACCCCACAAGGGTCCATGCAATATAGATCAGACCTGCTATGGAAAAGGGTAAGATGCATAGGGTGCAGGTATGTTACAGTGGTGGTTCTTCTCGCTGCTCTCAAGCACTCTTTCAGCATCTCTTGCCTGCAGAAACCTAAAACTGCCACCTGAAATCCTTGTAACTCCCTATTAAAGGCTCAGCGCTTCCTTTGCCCTGGTCACAGTTTCTGGAGGGCAAAGGCAACCTGCAGCCTCACCAAAGCAGGAGGGAGGAAAGGAGGGGGGAGGGGGTGGGGAAGGACATAGGGTGAAGTCAATAAAAAAAAGGTTCTCTAAAAAAGATAGAAAATTCAAAACCTAATGATTGCTTTCGCCCACCCTAGTTCAGTAGCAATTTGTGTCACTTGGATTTTACTTCTTTTGTCATTGTCTTTTGCCTTCATTGGTTTTCCCTGATGCCCCATAAATCTTTAAACCCTGAAGCTAAAAGAGGCTGCATTGTGCACCAGCTTGAATATTGATTTTGCTAGAGAGTATAAAATCTAGAGAGATAATAAGGAAATCCATCTAAGGTACCCTGCCAAGGGCTCCCATTAGTTGCTTTACCAGGCATCAATTCAATAAACCCTCGAGAGCAGCACATGAATAAACATCAGAGCCTCTCTGGCATGTTAATGCATCAGTTGCCTAATTGTCAATGCTGCCAACAGACTCCAAGAAAAGTAGTATCTTGGGAGTTCAGCCCCCTCCAACTTTAAGTCCAAAGAAGATTTGACACTGGCTTAGAAGGCGGTTGGGCTCAGGAGAGGGGGTGTGACAGCCAAATAACATGGGTACAGCTGTTATCAATGTGGTGCTGACCTCCTGCTGGATGCACAGCCCAGCTCTACGCAATCTGGGCATGGTGTGGCCATGTTGCATCCCAGAGCATGGTGATGAGGCCTATGGCTTTCCCTGTTCAGGAGTGGAATTTGTGTCTGAATTAAAAAAAAAATAAAATAAAATTTAGCCACAAGCAACAAGAATAAACTGGTCCTGAGCTGCTAGATACAAATTACGTTCTCCTCTAGGGCTGCCAGTGAGCCTGGCTAGCAAGAATCTGGGGTCTTGTTCCAGGCTCTACCATGTGTTTTCCCAGTGACCAGGGCCTTTTTCTTTACCCCGTGGGGACCCTTATTCCTGGCACAGCTTCTTTCTGTCTTATCTAATGAGGTTTTAAATTCCTCACAGAGAAGTTATTCTCTCCTAATGTGTTCATACGGTGCCTAGCACAATAGGGGCCTAATATCAGTTGGGACCTCTACTTGCTGCTGCAATAATAATTTTATGAGCAGCCTTTCATTAAGATCCATTGCTACTTAAGAAACAGCTGCAGTGTCACTTTATAAGGCTGTTGGCTGTTTTAACTCCCTCTGCTCCAGAAACAAGGTTTTGATCTTCCCTGTAGAAATGGATATGGGTAAAAGAGGCTGAAGCACAAATAAAAAGGCAATTTTTCCTATCAAATGGGAAAATTCAGAGTTAGAACATCTGGGACTTCCAGAAATTAAGAGAATGTAAAACAACACTGTTCTCACCTCACTGGAGAGGTGCATTTGAATTCATCCATCTTAATTTCCTTCTTTTCCATTGTCTTTCAATGGGCACATCACTCACTCAATTAACACAGATCACAGCTAGTAAGAGGGACACAGGTGTGTCCCATTGAGGCTATTCAACCTTAATATGGGAAACATTTATTACCATGACAAATAATGCAGAACACCTGATTTCAGCCCCCCCTTAATTACAAAAGCAGCCTGTTAGGACATTAGAGTTTATAGCTAATGATAGTCACAGAAGTAGTAGTAAAGAGGCAAGAAGCGCAAGAGACCAAAAGTCAGAAGCTAAGGAGTATTTTTCTCACCCTTTATCCTGAGGGAGTGTGAGGGTTCCCTGGAGCCTCACCTGAAGATGTTGATATGTGTACTCCCTGCATGTCACTGGCAAGCTCTGGCCCTGTCGCCTGCAAAAGGCTTCTGCTTTTCTGTGCTCTCTATTTAGCCAGCTGCTTCCAGGAATGGATGTGGTAAGTACTTATTAGAGGGACTTTAGGTAAAGCAAGCATCTGTCAAGGGTAACAGGCTGACAGAGGTCCCAAAAAGGAACAGGATGATGGTCATGTACTCTGGAGGAATGGTGAAGAAAATGGTGGTGCCCATCTCGACAGTCCTGTATTCCATCCCATATCAATTTCACTACATGAATTTATGGGGAATTGCTTTACATCAGCTCCTAATCTGTGAAGATACAATAAGATGCACCTTTAACAGGAAATAGAGCTTCCTTTCCAGCAGACAACTCAAGTCAAGCTATTGTAGCCCTACTGTGAAACAAGGTGGGAGTAGGG